GGAAGCCCAGGGGTATTTTCTAGGAAATTGAGTCCATCTGTTTCTGATTCATTTGTACTTAACTCATCACCAGGCCATTTTGTAAGAGCCCTTTGATGTGAAAGCCGCCGTATCCCATAAGCCTTTCAAAGCCTTTATTTAGTCAACAGTAGGTAAAGGGTCTCTCCAAGAGGCCAGAGGCGGCTTCTTGATCTCCCTCAACACATGGGCCATGTGAAAGGAGGTGTGGCCCTGGACACCCATCTTCCAGCCTGTCAGGGCCCACAGCAAGGCCTCCCGACCATTCACTCCCTCTCCTCACCGGGCACTGGAACCCAGCGCCCTCCCCGTCCACCACTTGCAGCCTGTACACAGGGATTTACGATTTCCTGTATGTTGCCTGAGTTTCTTGAAGTTGACTTAAAGTTCCTCAAGGATGAGAGGCCGAGGCTCGTAACTTGCTGGTCTCCCCACAACCCTGGGGAAGTCAGGGTGTTTCCAGGGATGCCCCCAACTTTGTGTTGACTTCAAGGCTGCGCAGACCACAGTCCTGAGGCATCTGTTAGAGGAAGAATCTTGTCAGGGTCCCCATTAGGCTGGTCATATTCTGTATATATTAAAAACCTTCAGGGGTGTTTCTAAGGCAGGGGACGGTGCCTATAGCTGGGTGGCTCTCAAACTGGAGCATGCATCAGGATCACCTCCCAAGGGCCAGTCACAAACACAGATCCCTGGGTGTTACCCGCAGAGTTCTTGACTCGGATCCAGAGTGAGGCCCAATAATTTTGCATTTCTAACAAGTTCCCAGGTAATGCTGATGTTGGTCTAGAGGCCACACTTTGAAAACCACTGGTCTAGCCATTCATTTTAGTCCTCAGGTAAAAATTTCGTTATGTTTCATTTTCCTTTTTCTCCAAATACTGTGGCTTAAAACTAACAACTCAAAGAGAGGTGACAGTGGTGATGGCGCGCCACTCGGAAGTGGGCACTGGACTTGGTGCCTTACAGAGACCTCATTCAATCCTCACAGTTACCCCGTGAGGCGGGCACTTTATCCATTTTACAGCTGAACCTCAAAGGTGCAGAGGAGTGAAGCAAACCTCCTGCAGGTCACACACAGCTTAGCTGTGGAGCTGGTACGCAGCGAGTGGGCAATATTCTCACCAAACGAGTGCGCCGGTGAACACAGATGGTAAGAGGTGGATTTGAACCCGAGTCTGACTTCAAAGCTCAAACTCATTTTACATCAGCAGGAAGCATTAGAGAAGGAAATGCAAGTCCTGGGAAGGAACGAATTAAAGCTTCTTTCTTTTTTCCTTCCTTCCTTCTTTCCTTTCCATCTTGCCTATCTTCTACCCTCCCTTTCCTTTCCCTTTTTCTTTCTCCTCTGCCTCTTTTCCTTACTTCTGGATTTTATGAAAGTAGTGATACAACTGAAGCTTTTCTGCATCTAGTGTTGACTGTCAAGATGGGAGAGGCAATGAAAAGAAATGGTAAGGAGCTGGTTCCAGAGGGGCCTTGAGAGGTAAGTGGGACCAGCAGCTGGAGGAACTGAAGACTCCCAGGTATGGGCCCAGACCAGGCCTGGGGAATCATCACCGCGTTAGAGACAATGCATCTAGAAATAATTCAGGTGGTCGGTGTGGAGGAAATTCAGTTGTTTTGGTTGGAAAGAATTTTTTTACAAAAATAACATGTTCTTAGCAATTTGGGGGTCAGGGAATAAAGTTGTTCTAACTTTTTATCTTTTTTCAGTTCTGTCTGAATGTTTTATTGTGCACCTTTCAGGTATTATCTCTATAAACAGAACACACTAATTTTTGCTTATGTTGAAAATTTTGGAAACTAGATAAGCAAAAGAAAAAAAATTAAAAACCTGTAATTCCATGGCCCAGAAATAACTACTGATAACGTTTTCCTTGATGCCAACGTTATCCACTTAGTTATTTCTACGTTAACAGTTTTTTACAAGAGCAGGTTCACCTTGATCTTCCTGTTTTGCAACCTGATTTTCTGGCCTCATCCTGACCATGGCCCTTTTCCTAATACTGTCTTCTTCATTGTTAGTTTCAATGGCTCCACACTACCCCATTATATACCTGTACCATACAGTCTATCACTAGACCTCTACTGCCTGATACTATATGGTTTTCAATGATTTGCTAATATAAATTTTAGTTTATTTTGGACTAGTACGCTTTATTCATCATAGGGTTACCCATGGTTCAAAGGAGCCCTATTTGAATCAAGAGATGATACTTTAAGATTCTTTCTGCTTTAACACAGGCTGAGAAATAAAACATTCTTGGAGATGTTTCAGTGGGGGGTTGATTTTGTAATACTTCCTAATTTATATAAGTTCTGTTAAAACCTTTCTTATTGGAATTTCATAGACTGCGGATTACATCTTAATAAAAAGCAAACAACATCCTTTCCAATAGGGAGTTAGAAGACCAAAGTTCCAATTATTGTCATGTGACCTAGTGCAAGTGTAACACCTGGTGTGTCCCTTTTCTCAGACACTGGTGTAACACCACCCAGCTCTCAGATCTCCTGATCTTCAAACAAGATTATGTATATGGCCCTGGCCGGTGTGATTCCGTTGGTTGAGTGTAGTACCATGCGCCAAAAGGTTACAGGTGAGCCCCGCCGGGCACAGCTCAGTGGGTGAGCATGGGCCTAGGACCCAGGAGATTGCAGTTCGATTCCCAGTCAGGGCACATGCCCGGGCTGCAGGCTCGATCCCCAGTCGGGGGCGTGCCGAAGGCAGCCGATCAATGACTCTCTCATCATTGACGTTTCTACCTCTCTCCCTTCCTCTCTCTGAAATCAATAAAGATATATATAAAAAAAAAAAAAAGAAAGAAAAGGTTATAGGTTAGATTCCTGGTCAAGGCACATGCCTGGCTTGTGGACTGGATCCCCAGTAGGGGGCGTGCAGGAGGCAGCCGATTGATGTTTTCCACATGGATGTTTCTTTCTCTCCCTTTCCACTCCTCCCTCTCTAAAATCAATAAAAACATATTGGCAGGGGGCGGGGAAGATTATGTATAAGATGGAATGAATGCCAGAAACTATAGTTATTTTTTATTCATAATTATCAGAGCAGGATGAACAACCCAATCCACTGGTCACAGGTAATTAAATAAAAAAAACAAAAACTGGAATGCAGCCATTCTATGGAATACAAGCCGGCTTAAACAGAAAAAAACTACTGATATGTCAATAACATGGATGGATCTGAAAAACATTATGCTGCCCTGGCCGGTGTGGTTCAGTTGGTTGGAGTGTCTGTCGTTCTGTCCACTGAAAGGTCGAGGGTTTGATTCCCGATCAGGGCACATACCTAGGTTGTGGGTTCAGTCCCCAGTAGGGGTGCATACAGGAGGTAACAGATCGATGTTTATGTCTCTCTCTCTCTCCCCCCCTTATCCTCTCTCTAAAAATCAATGAACATGTCCTCAGGTGAGGATTAAAAGAAAAAACATTATGCTTAGTGGAAGCAGCTAAGCACACAAGAATACATAATGAATTATTCCACTTGTACAACATTCTGGAAAAGGCCAAAGGTGGGGATAGGAATCAGGTAAGTGGTTGTCAGGACTGGAGACGAGGGGAGGGGGCTGACACTAAAGTTTCATGAGGTATCACTTTTGGGTTGATGGATATTTTATATCTTGATTGTGGTGGTAGTTATATGACTACACATTTATAAAAACTCATTGAACTGTACACTTAAAAGGGGCGAATTTTATTGCATATAAAATGTGCCTTAACAAACCTGACTCCCCTAAAAAAATGTATAGCGCTGCCCAAATACAAGGTATCATCCGTCAGACATTATCTGTAGCACTTTTCACAGAAATTCTGAAATGCCTCTGTGAAATACTCCATTTGTAAAAAAAAAAAAACAATCTAGAAAAGACCAAGTATGCTTAGGAAAATATTTGTTGTTGGGTTATCTGTCTTTTGAAAAGTCCATTTCTACACGCCAGCAAATGCCCGTGTGTAAGGTCCCATTGGGGAGCGGCTGACCACTTGGACTATTGGAGATTTCCCTGGTCATCACCTGCTTTTTTCTTCTTCTTTTTAAAAAATATCACCAGTATCAGAGCTGAACGATACACATTTCCCCCAACCCCAACCAGATAGTCCTTTTTCCTCCAGGGGAAGAATACAGGTATTTCTGGTTGATCTTCTCTTGGCCTGGCCACTGCCACCTTAAGGAACATTACACTCCGAAAGTAAATAAAATATAAAATAATAACCTACAGCTAAAGACCAGGTTATCAAGACAGCAGATTTCTAAGCACAATAGTAGCAAGAGTGAACTGATGCAAAGACGAAGAGCTAGTGGTGAGAGCGCCTGCTCGAATCCCCCAGCACTGCACAAAATCCCTGCCTGACGGCCTAAGGGCCTAATCAATGCTCTGTATTCGAGCACTGTCACTGTGACAACATTCCCGTGCAACAAAGGGGCTGGCATAGTTCCTGGAGTTCATAATGGGATAGCAAATGGGAGTGAGGATATCATCTCCTCTCGATAGAAATCGGGTCCTGTAAAGACACACTGTTGGTTATCTCGGTAGTCAGCTTATCGCCCTACTCCCACAGGGCCCGGCAGAACCCTGCCCGAAGGAGGTGCCCCGAGAATGTTTGTGAGTCAGGGAGCAAGGGGTTCCACTGCTCTTGGAAGATGGGCGCCCAGCCTGGCTACCTTACACTAAAGACTGTTAAAACAGAGCAACCATCAAACCAGATAAAGCTTCCCCAGATTTCTCCTTCTACAGCCAGGCAGGTTTGTTTGTTAACAGCCTCCGTGGCGGGTCTATCCGCACCCTCATTTCATTTCAGCTACCGATAGGGTCTATTACCACGTGGGGGTGGAGAGGAGTGGAACTGACTGATGTCAAGTGTTGGGGTTACTGAGTTGAAAAGTAAGTCTTTTATCAAGAAACCCACAGGCTGGCAGGGAAGAGAATCTTGAAAAACGTAATTACATTTGATAATGAAGAGCTCACCTTTGGCCGAACAGAGGCATTGTGCTAAGTGAGCTACCTGATAACCCTGTGAGGCAAGAACTGTACCTGGTTTACAACTGGGGGAAATTAAGGTTCTGAGACGTTAGGAGCTTGCCTGAGGGCACACAGTTGATAGCACAGGGTCCAGAACTGGAACCCAAGCAATCTAACTCCAGAGCCTACACACCTGGCCCCTGCAGCAGATCTGCAAAGGAGACCCAGAGGGTGTCTATTACGGCGCAGAGCTGTCAGGTGGGCCCTCGGAAGTGACCTGGACACTACATCTTGGAGTGTGGGGAAGCACGGTAGGCCCAAGGGAAGAAGAGGCAGATGGCTTCATGGCGTGGTGGCTGTCAGCATCTGGTAGACTAGATACTCTAGTACAGGGCACCTGCTAGGAGGCAGTGGAAATGGGAGAGGTGGAAGATGTGGGCAGGCCACACGGTGGGACTTGGTGTGCCGAGTTTAGATTTTACCTGGACATCATGCAGAATCATGAGTGTTTGGGTGTCTGCTGACATGAAATTTACCATAAGAGTGATCATGTAGGAAACAGGCCAGATTGTAGAAGCTGTGAGGTTGTAGACTGGAGAAGGGAAGGGGGAGGCACCAGGAAGCCACTGTTGTGATCCAGGTGGGGCAAGAGGAGCTCCTTCGTCAGAATCTGTCCAGTGGCCAGATAGGTACAACTCTTACAGAGAACCCTGACTGGACCCTGGATGGTTTGCTAGGCTGAATCCCCTTCAGGTCACTCAGGATCCCATTTCTGAACCAAGCAGGACTCTGCGGCTCATGGGGCACCACTAACCACTGGCCAGAGACCCAGTTTCAGTCTCCAGGCCTCCAGTTCACCATCTGTAATATGAGTGAATTTAACTAGATTGCATTTTATTTTATTAAATATGTTTTTATTGATTTTTTTTTTTACACAGAGAGGAAGGGACAGGGAGAAATAGAAACATCAATGATGAGTCATTGATCGGCTTCGTCCTACACGCCCCCTACTGGGGATCGAGCCCGCAACCCAGGGATGTGCCCTGACCAGGAATCCAACCACGATCTCCTGGATCATAGGCCGATGCTCAACCACTGAGCCACGCTGGCTGGGCTAGATTGTATTTTAGGTGCCTCCCTGTCCTGACATTCTGTGAATTCTTTTTACATTAGATTCTAATGATAGGCACATGAGGCCCTTAGAAACCTCATGGACGCTCTTGGATACTCTGTTCAAAGGTACCAATTTGTTCTTTGGTACTTGTGGACAGTAATCTTACATAAATTGGAACAATCTCTTTAGAGGTTTGGCACTGTGATGATTAATTTTGATGTTGTTAATCCTCACCTGAGAATATTCTTTCCATTGCTTTTCAGGAAAAGTGGAAGGGAGGGAGGAAGGAGGAGAGACACACCAACCAGCTGCCTCCTGCATGCACCCCTACCAGGGGCGGGGAGTGAACCCACAACCCAGGCACGTGCCCTTAACTGGGAATGGAACCCACAACTCCTCGGTCCACGGGCCAACACCCCAACCACTGAACCACAGAGGCCAGGGCATTAATTTTGTGTCTTAACTTAGGTAGGCCACTCTGCCCAGATACTTGGTCAGCTATTATTCGGGATGTTTCTGTGAAAGTGTTTTTTGGAACTCTTACAAATTCCAACTTTGGATCACAGCTAATTTCACTGAAGACCCAGGCCTTCACCAAAACCAGGGAGGAAAGTTTTGAAGATCAGATCATTAGCTCTTTGCAAGGCAGATGACTCTTTAATTCATACATAAAGACAACTGGATGCAGACCTTTTCTTTAGAACCTTTTTTTATTAATCATCTAACCACAGATGTGGTCAGTTTGAACCAAAACAAACTCAAACAAAGTCCTGCCTCATTACAAAACAATAGGGCAAAACCGGAAATGAAGACAGTTTAGCCTCAGTTCTTTTCAGAGTAGACCAAATGTGTATTTATATATAGATGCCCCATTAAAACCTAATTAGCAATGTACCACCACCAAAACCATAGAGGGTAGAAATCTTGTAGGGGACTCCCCACGTGTCATTCACAGAGCCAGCCTCTCCCTCAGTCATAAACAAGCCCTTGCTTTTTGGGGGGAGGGCGATCAGCCTATATCTTCAGTAATGGCACCACTTGTTTACTCTGGAACTTTGATGGGGAGGTGACTCACTTATTTCCTCCCTGAACCTGAGATGCTAGCCTGTTTGAATTTCTAACAAGTGTCCTGGAAGATAGGTGGTGGAGGTTCCCTTAACAAAGAGTTTACAGGGTAATTGTGTAGGGCTCTTTAAGTACTTAATCCTGTTGTTTGTCAGAAGCCTTTGCACCTGGGCTCCCAAGAAGTAAGCGGGGCCAAATCAGTGCCCTACTGGCCTGTGAGTGAGGTGCTTCTCAGAACAGTCGCTCACAGAAGGAGAGGCAGCAGGGGAAGGGACAAGGTGGAGATGCAGGGGGACAGAAATCAGCTGAAACACTCCATGCTGGTTCTGACTCGCTCCATCTCGTGCAGGAAGCTGTAGAACTGAGGCAAGGTTAATTCTGGGGGAAGAAAATTCAGTTTCAGGTAAATGTTTCCAACTCCACGGACTCATCCAAGAAAATTAATTTCCACCCAGAAATATTTTTTCTTTTTTGGCTTAGTACAACCAAGCAGCTCTTGATGGGTAGTAATAAAAAACTGAGAGCCTTGAACATAGGAAATTTCTCAGCCCCATAAAAAAGGAGGGTGGTTTAAAAGGGCCTAACTCCGGAGCATAAAGATGTCAGGATGCTCAATGTGACTTCTAAAGTAAGAGCTTCTTGCTCTTCCAATCTTTGCCATTCCTTTCCCCCCCATTTTTCAGAAAGGTTCTTCAACTCTGGGGTCTCCAACCTGCTGATGGCTTATTAATTAATAACCTTTGTACCATCTTTTAGGAGAGGAAAGGCAGTGGTTGTAACACAGCTTAGTAATGACTTTTTTCCTCGAAGAAATGATTTACGGTGGGCTACATGAGCCCACTGAGTGAAGAGAACAGAGAAAAAGGAAAGAGTTTCAAATGGGAATTCGGACTCACCTATATATAAATTTTCAGTTTGATTTCCTTTTTTAAGCACCAATTTTAACTGATTAAAAAGAAGAAATAAAAAATTTTAAATTAAAATGACAACTGGGCAAAGAAATTCTTGAAACCTGAACTTTCACTTAAACATCAAAGCATCCAGTTTCTAACTTGAGGGTTATACAGGAGCAGCCTGGATTGTCCATCAAAACTCCTAACAGGTCCCACGATTACAAGAACAATCAGACTTTTAAGAACATTACCTGGGTCCTATTAGTAAGCCTGTTGGAGACCATGTCTTTGGCTGCCACATTGCTCTGAACTACACAAGGCACTTGAGTGGAACATCCATTTAATTGGATATTTAAAGAAACCCAAGGTAGGTTTAATAAATTTTAACTAAGTCAAAAGTCTACCCATTTTTAATGATCAAGAGAAGACTTACTTGTAAAAAAATACTTCCCACTTTTTCCAGTTCGCTGCTCCCAGAAGTCACTATGGCACAAAAGAGAAAATAGTAAGTGGCTGGTTGAGGACCCACTCTGAAGACCCAATCTTGCAGGTTGTGCAGCAGAAGCCACATGGGGGTATGAGGACAGCAAAATGTGCTTTTCGGGACGTCAACATATCAAAGAGCCACAGATAGAAACAGATGCTCAATGTGGATGGAAATACAGAGAGGCAGCTGCTGGCCCCAATCGTCTTTGAGGACAGAGGACACCTCTTCCCCACTGAAGCTATCGAAAAGCCTCTGCAACCCAGCCCTACATCACCCAAGGGACCCGAGACTGGCTCTAACTAATTACCTCCAAATTTCCACTCCATATCTATAAGCTGGTTAATCATCAGAGTCTGACCTATGGCCCGTCGAGCAAGGGTGGGGGCATTCTGCTTCCACTGGAACAAAAGCAAAAAGCCAAAGTCATAACAATGGGAAAAATCCTCCCTCTTCATCCAACCCCCCCACAGCAACGCTTAGTTATTTATAAAGACAGTGGGAAGGTCTGGTCTTTGTGCACAGATCTAGGGGTTGGGGGAGTATAAAGGGGCAGAAGACAATATAAATGTTTTCCTTCATTTCCAGATTTAATCCATGTTGGAACAACAACTGTATGACGTTTATGTTTAGTCAAATCAGTGGGGTGCACTAAAAAAGTGCACAAAAATTACAAATGCACTAAATAGTGCAATTTAAAAGCTGGATGCATGTTATTTGCATGAAACCAAATGAAAAACATTAAGCTGGGGAAATGACACATAATGATTGATGGCATTTCCTTAGTGGGCATTTTCCATTTGTTTCTTTTGGTGAAATAAAAGCAAGTGATCTTAATTGACTTTGATTAAGAAGAATTGTGATACCTTTTCAGAAAAGTAAGTGGCTTTCTCTTCACTAAGACCTATGAGAGAACATAGGGAGAATTAATATAATAGAGCTGCAAGGCCTGTCACTCTGAGCAACCTTGGGGATGACCTACCCAGAGTTATGAAATCAGCCCGGACCTGCTCAGCTGTGAGACTCTTCTTCAAGGCACCTGGGAAAAGGGGGAGAAATAAGTTAAATAGGTCAAATCAGTTAATCAGTTGACAGTATTTAATGGGCACAACTTATACAACACAGATGACAAAAGGAGTAGGCAAAACTCAGCAAGCTCCGTAAAGATCTCAACCTAGCTGGGGAGAAAAGGCACATTGAGACACGTGGGGAACAAGACAACCATTTTGTTTAATGTACAACACAAGTGTTTACCCCCCACCTTCCCCAAAAGTCTGGAAGACATCAGAGACAGAAGAAAGGCTTGATGAACTTAATAAGGAAGCCAGGCCTAAGGGAAGAGTAAGGCTACCGGTCCCTGCAGCAAAGCAGGGGAAGCTCAGTGGCGGGCTGGGCACAGGGCCACAGCCCAGAACTGCACTGTGCAACACATAACCACTGAACACATGTGGTTACTTAAATATATTAAAATTAAATAAAATTTTAAATTCTGTTCCTCAGCCGCAATAGTGACAGGTGCTCAATAGCCACATGGCCCCAGTGGCCACGGTACTGGACAGTGCAGGTTACAGACCATTTCCATCCACATAGTTCTACTGGACAGTGCTGCCTAGAAAACCAGGAAGTACACCCAGATGAACTACACAGTTTGGCCTTTATAATTCACAAGTCCCTTCCCAGGAGGGCATCAAACCTCCCCTCAGAAGCCCCGGAATACTCCCCTGTGGGGGCTGCTTTGTTTTGGCCGCAAGCTCCAATTCCTGAAAGCAAAGTGTTGCCAGGAATCTGGGCGTCTCAATGATGAACCTGCAGGCTACAGCCCAGGGTCACAATTTGGCAACTGATCTAAAATTTTCCACTTCTTAGTCTTCCAGAAGATGACTAATTAAATATGAAGACATCCACCACCATCCAGGGAGGGCACTGAAGTAATGCCCTGAAACCAAGTCCCCACCCCCATCTCACTCCAGAAAAACAATCCTAAAGGTTGTTGTCCCTGCAAAATAAACCATGTAAACAAAGGGAGGAAATCTTTTATCTCCAAAATCAGTCACAGCAAGGAAGCCACAGGAAAATAAAAAAAGGCAAGACCCCAGGAAACCTTGGCCATAAAGGCCTTCCAAGAAGGGGGTCACTTCCTAGCCAATCCAATGAACTCAAACTATCACATGTATAGCTCCTTCATATATACTCAGCTCAAACCCAGCATTTTGCTTGATGATCCCACAGTACTCTGAAGTGGGCATTATTATTGAAACCTTTAACTTACCAGGAAAGTAAAGATCAAGCTTTTGGGGGAGAAAATTTGGAAAATGTACAGTCAACAACTGTACTGCCAAGAATTCACCCAACAGAGTCACCCCAAAAGTACCCTGAGAACGTAGGAAGCTCCTTAGCAATGTCAGTAGTAGAGATTAAAAAGTCAGGAACAATGGGCTGCTTTTGGTGCATCCACACAGCAGCTTGGATGTCAAGGTGATTTTGTTAAAACTTAATTCAGACCATGGCTCTCCTCTGCTGCTCAAAACCCTCTAATAGCTCTGGTTGCACTTACATTGAAATCCAAAGCACTTACAATGCCCTGCAAAAAGTGGCCTCCTCTAGAACACCTCAGCTCTCTCCCTTGCTTACTATGCTTTTCCTATAACATCTCAGGCAGGTTTCTACCTCTAGGCACTTGCCCTTGCGGTTCCTTCTGCTGGGAACAGTCTTCCTCAAATCAGCACATGGCTCATTCCCTCACTTCATTCTGGTCTCTGCTTGAATCTCACCTCCTAAAGGCTTCCCTGACCACTCTATTTTGAGTGGCACTGCCTTCACTTATAACCTGTACTGCTGCACTTTTCTGTATTGCATTTATAACTACCCACATTTAAAAAAAATTTTATTGACTGATTGATTTTAAAAGGAGAGACAGACAGACATTGATTTGTTGTTCCACTTACTTACGCATTCATTGCTTGATTCTTGTATGTGCCCTGACTGGGGATCAACCGACAACCTTGGCATATTAAGGTGACAATTTAATCAACTGAGCTACCCGGCCAGGGCTATAACACCCCAGTTTTGTTAAACATTTGTCAATTTTTCTACTAGAATGTCAGTCTGACAAGAACTTGGTCTACTTTGTGCACTGCTGTCCCCCAAGCTCCTAGAAAAGTGTCTGGCACTATTTATTGGGTGGCACTAAAGAAAATATTCTGAATGAAAGAATCCATACAATGGAACACTATGTAGCCTTTAGAAAGGAGATAGCTCTCGTTGTGAATTTGCAAAATGTAATTTAAAAAGGAAAGAACAGTCTGCACAGTATGATCCTTTGTGTGAAGCCAGTATGATACTCTTATTTATAACTGTAATTATACCCTCATCCAAGAGTTAGCAGCAGATGTAAGGCACATTTTTCCTGAACACATCCACTTAAAAGTGGGTATCTTTGGGGAAAGGAACTGGGTGGGACTTTTCTGCCTTTCTAACATTTTAAAATTTTCTAGATGGCCTTGGCTGGTGTGGCTTAGCTGGTTGAGTGCCATCCCGTGACGGTTCTCCTCTTGGCCAGGGCACATGCCCAGGATGCGGGATCAATCCCAGGTAGGGGTGCATGAGGGAGGCAGCTGACCACTGTCTCTCTCTCACATCAATGTTCCTTTCTCCCTCTCTCTTCCTCTCTAAATATCAATAAAAACATATTTAAAAATAAGTAAAATTTTCTAGTTGCACGTAGGTTTTTTAAATATAAAAGTGGTAAAATTGTGAGCCATTTTTGTTTCCTTTCTTGTATTTTTCTTTCATTAAAAAATAAATGTTACTTAATTAAAAAATAAAATAAAAAAACAATTAAATGAATTGTCCAGGCCATAACAGCTGGCAAATAGCAGAGACAAGTAGCTTATAGGCCAGAGTGTCCCCAAACCTAAGCTCTTTCTACATCAGGTCATTCTGAGATGCTGTCCCAGTGAAGCAATACCAGGCAATGCCTTGACAGTGACTGATAACGAACACTCCCAAATGCAGGGACCAAAGGGTAAGTTCTCCATCCTGCCATTACCTCTGCCAGGCAGAAGTCATACTTAAAAATATAGTATTTGTGCCCTGGCTGGTGTTCTCATTGGTTAGAGAGCCGGTCCGTGCACCAAAGAGTTGCAGGTTCAATTCCTGGTCAAGGGCATGTACCTGGGTTGCCAGTTTGATCCCTACCCCGGTCAGGGCGGGTCTGGGAGGCAACCAATCGATGTGTCTGTGTCACATCGAGTCTCTCTCTCTCCCTCTCCCTCCTCTCCTTCCTTCTACTCTAAAAATCAATGGAAAAAATATCCTCAGGTGAGGATTGGCAAATATATATATTTGAGGCCTAGCATGCCCACAGCCACAACAAGTTAGGTCTCATGCTAGGCCTCATGCAGGACCTCAAGCCCTTAATCCATTTCTTCCTTCCATTCATTCATTTATTTTTTAGATCTAATTGACATATGACACTGTGTAAGTTTAAGGTGTTGATTTGATACATTTATATATTGCAATATGATTGCCACCATAATATCAGCTAACACTACTATCATGTCACATAATTATCATTTCTTTTTTGTGGTGAAAACATTTAAGATCTAGTCTCAGCAATTTTGGAGTTCATAATAGACAGGCCTGCAGCCTAGACCCTACACCAGACAGAAAACTGTGTGAACTCCAGGGCTGGCATCATCAGCACATGTTAGTTGATGAAATTTGAGAATGTCCTTCTTTAAACACAGGTAACCATCAGGGATGGTTTATAAATTCCTTAGCACAAATTTCCACTGGAATGGTTGCCTTAGGCAAAACTTCATTGCCATCAAACAGTATGCTGTATAAGACAGAGGTGTGTATGAAGGTAAGGATTTCAGTTTTGCCAGGGAACAGTTGGAAAACGAGCAAACATTGTTCTTCTAGCTGAAAATCTATATAAGCTTATTCAGTACAATAAAGGAAGCCCAAGGAACAGAAATAAGCCTTGGTGAAAATTCCTGGACGGATATGGGAGAGGATGATGAACTGTATTCATTCAGTGATTACAGACCCCGAAGGCTCGCCCCCTGAATCCACCCCTGCAAGGCTCTTAGGGGAACAGAGGTCCTGGTCTCTGTACGTGGATTTACTGAGCACCTGCTATGTGCCAGCACTATGCTGGACTCAGAAACATCACTGAACCAAAAAGACAACCGCTGTCCTCATTAGGCCTACATTCTACTGGGAGGAGAAAACCATAACTATAATGTAACAAATAAGTGAGCCATGTATATTATAAGGTGAAAAGTGCTACAGAGAAAAGTAATAGAGCAGGTTAAGCTTGGAAATCCTGGGGTTTCCAACAGTTGATCCAAAGGTTGTTCAACAGTTGATTAAATACTATTTGTAACTATTTTTCAATCCTGATTTCCCCCCTAGACAGAAAGAATCCCTTTGGGAGTGGGAAAAGGGAGTTAACACTTTTTCTTAAAAAATAAACAAACAAAATAAAAAACAAGGACCAGCAAAGCATTAAAATAAAAAACAGCCCGGCCGGGCATGGCTCAGCGGTTGAGCGTCGACCTAGGATCCAGGTGATTGGGGTTCGATTCCCGGTCAGGGCACATGCCCGGGTTGTGGGCTCGATCAATGGCTCTCTCATCATTGATGTTTCTATCTCTCTCTCTCCCTCTCCTTTCCTCTCTCTGAAATCAATAAAGATATATTTAAAAAACAAAAACAAACAAAAAACAGTCTTTGCCTGGCCGGCATGGCTCAGCAGTTGAGCATCAACCTAGGATCCAGGAGATTGCGGTTTGATTCCCGGTCAGGGCTTGATCCCCAGTTGGAGGCATGCAGGAGGCAGCCTATCAATGACTTTCTCTCATCATTGATGTTTCTCTCTCTCTCCCTCTCCCTTCTTCTCTCTGAAATCAATAAAGATATATTTAAAAACAAAACAAACAACAGTCTTAAAAAGTGGCCCTACTACCAAGTTATCTGTAATCTTATCCAGGAGACTACTAATCATGATAATGACAATCATATTAGTGGTGCAGCTACCACTTACTGAAGCGAGCATTTTACATTTATTATCTTTCTCCATTCTTATAACAATGTATGAGGTACTCATATTAGCTATGCTTTATCCCTGAAAAAACTGATTCTCAGAGAGGTTCAGTAACTTGGCTCAAGGTCTCAGAGCTGTTAAGTAGCCATAGTGACAAGTAAGCATACAAAGGCAACCCAGCAACCAAATGCAATGTAGGGGCCAACTATAAACAAACAAAATGCAGATAAGGGGGAAATATGAACCCTGACTGCATATTTTAATTTTAGATACGATAATGGCATTGTGGTTTGATAAGGGTTTGAAAAAGTCCTTTTAGAAATATATAACTAGGTATTTAGGAATTCATTCATCATGATATGATGTCTGAGGGATTTAGATTTGCTTTAAAATAATTGTTTGGAGAGCAGCCTGAGGTGAAGTGGGTGGGATACAGATGAAACAATTTTGCCATGGGCTGATTAACTGCTGAAGTCAGGTGTTTTTGAATTACATACTAAATAGTATAAGATAAACATTAAAAAATTCCACTAGGCTTTAACTCAAACAAGACGGGTTCAAAGCAAGTCATTTCTCTTCTGTTAGGACTCTCTTTATCTCCAACACCAAGATTAGACTAGATTATCACTTTACAAAGTTCTTACCTGACCCTCCCTGTGACAAAAAATAAAGGGTTCCATGATTAACTGTTTTACAGATACTGGTTAAGCAGGATTTTTCAGAGACTGAGATTGTTAATGTGTGTGAATCTCCAAGGTTCCAAGGCTAGGGAGGTGGGGAGACAGTATCTTCTGACTCTGCCTGGCCACTGAAGCCTTTTCTAAATGAAAACACAAATGTGGGGACCTAGCTGCTGTTGCAGAATAGTTACAGCGTTGGCCCAAGCACCAAAGGATCAAAGGTTTAATTCCTGGTCAAGGGCAGGTACCTGGGTTGCAGGTTTGATCCCCAGCACCAGTGTGTGTGTGTGGGGGGGTGCGGGAGGCAACTAATTGAATGGTGTGTCTGTGTGCGTCTCTCTCACATCGATGTTTCTCTCTCTCTCCCCCCTCCCCTCCTCCCTCCCTCCATCTCTTCCACTCTCTCTAAAAATCAATTGAAAAAATATCCTCAGGTGAGGATTAAAGAAAAAAAAAAAAAAGAAAGAAAACACAAATTTGGGGAAGACTGATCTGGAGGGTTCCTGAGGCCCCTTCAGCTCTAACCAGCTATGCTTCGACCCTGAGGTCTAACTGCACAGGCAGGACCAGGCTGAGGCAAGAGGAAGAGGAGGAGGGTCCTACATTTCAGACTGGGAAAGGCCTTGAATACCAAATTAAGGACTGCAGGCTTCATTACGTGAATAGCTGAGAGGAGCAACACGTTCCACACTGTGCAGTAGACGTGTACTCCAGGGCAAACTGGAATCTGGGATGGGAGAGCAGACGTGAAGATGGTGCTGCCACAATCAGGTACAAAAAGGCCAAGAACTTGCTCTGGGATGGCGGCCTCTGGGGCTGGAACGAAAACAACACATGACCAAGGGATGCGGAAGAGGCCAAGAGACTGACAAGCTACAAGGTCGGATGCTTAGGAGTCACTTTAGCAGTGGAGAATTCAAGTAGGAAAACTCTGCAGGAAGACAAAGGTCAGGCTGCATAAGAACAAAAAGTACAGTGAAATAATCTGTTGAGAGCTGAGAAGTACAGCAAACCTGAGACTTCCGTTCTAGAATTTGAAAAGCTTGAAAGCTTTGGGGCACTAAATAATCAAGAAGTGAATTCAGATCCTCTCCATGAGATGAAGGAAAATTTTATTTTATAACCTGATATTGAGGCATGGGGCTGAAACTAACTGAACTATCAACAAATAAAGCTAAAGTTTAACAAGTACTGTACTGAGTGCTTTATATATATTAACTCACTTATTCCTAATGCCACTGCCATAAACTGCTCTTATTACTCCATTTTTCAGATAAGAAACTGAGCCTCCAAGAGGCTGGTTTGTCCAAGGTCAAATAACTCCATTAGGTGATGTGAACAACACCCAAACTCAGTGAGCCTCCAAAAGCCCAGGCTGGACTGGCATGCTGAGTTCTTCAGTGTTCTCGGTATCAATAGAAAACGACCTTCTAGAATCAATCCTGCTTGAAAAACACCCAACCTTCCACGAGGGCAATGGGTGGAAAAAAGGGGACATCTATAATACTTTCAACAACAAAATTAAAAAAAAAAAAAAAAAAAGCAACAATCGCACAAAGAGAATCATAAAATCTCACAGTTGAAAACTTCAGAGATGTTCCGATTCAAGCCTCCAGAACCTCTGGAGCACAAGACGGGGCAAAAGAAAGAGATCTGCACTAAGATATGGGAAGACACCCAACAGGAACAAACAAACTTAACACCCCAACTTTCAGTGCACCATTTGGCTGAAAGCCTGGGAAGATCAGCTTATTAGTGATTTTTAAACTGTGCAAACCAGGGATGCTGTTTTACTCCTCTCAGCTTTGTTAACATTTACTGATTTTTAAGACTAGGCTCAAATGTTGCCTCTCTTTAAATAAAATTAACTTTAAATTGCCAAATTACTTCTAGCAAATTTTCAGAGAGTACATAGCCAAAAATAAACACTCAAAACAACCTGCAGTCCTGCCACCCACTACTGGGCACTACTACTTTTATTAAACAGTATATTGTGAAAGGTTTTCTGTATCATTACATTTTCCTCAACAACATCTTTTTAAATTACTACATAATTTGAAAAACAAGACCAACCTTTTACTGAGGTACTGTTTTAAGCATTTTATTTACATGATCTCAATGTTCAAAACAAGCCCCACCCACACACCAAAAAAACACACACACAAAAAACTAAACCTTAGATGCAGGGGTGCTGCTAACGATGGGTTGTTGATAGGGGCTGGGAGAGATGGGTGCCTGGCCAAAGTCACACTACTTATCAAGTGACAGACTGGGATTCACACTCAGGTCCATCTAACTTAGAACCGTGATTCTTGGCCACCAAAATATCCCCTGGTAAAAATGGACCACAACTCCTTACACCAATCTCCAGTTGTTTCTAATTTTTCTCTATCATATACAGTGCTACAATGGACATCCCTACAGTCACAGCTTTCTGATCTCCTTCCTCCCGGCTAGAAAATTCCTGACTGCTCTAGGCAAACTCTGCTTCTCAAACCATGTGTACCTTTTTTGTTTTCAATCCATCACAGATCAACATTTTTGTATAATACAATGAAAATTAATTCCTAGAAACAGGAAATGAAAACCACATATAAAATACAAGCCCCAAATGATTAAAACAATAAATTTATGTTACAAATATTTTACCACATTAAAAACACACACACACCAAGCACCGTGTTAAAAAAATAGATTTTAGAGACTTGGTCAAATTGCTGTAAAAGTTTCTAAATGCTAACTCTCAATTTTTGTGTTTACTGTGTAAAGGACCAGATAACATTTTGGGGACGGAAGCCAGGATGCAGACTACACTTTGAACTGCAACGCTATTACACTCTACTAGGGTTATCTGTTGACCTGGCTTCCCTCCCTGGACTGCGATTCCCGCCCATGTCTGGTTCACTACTGAATGCTCTGGCTCACTGCCCAGAGCACGCCTGCCTACTCTGTGGACTGGAGGAATGTTCAAGGAATGTCTCTGACCTCAGCTGCTGAGAGGCTACTCACCATTTGGAACGAGAAGGAGGCTTTTCACGATGCTTCTGAGGGGGCCAAGACTGATCTGATTGGTGGCGGCAAATTCAGAGAGCTGAGCCAGAAACCTTTCCACCTGCAGAAAGGGAGCAGCACAAATGAGGCCTTCACCTGCTAAGCATCTCAGGGCTGTAGACCTCACTCGGGAACTCTCCTTATCACAAAATACTTTACCTCTTTTGGCTCAGTTAGGAAGTGAAATAGCACTTCTGTCAGGGCTGAGAACTGCTGTGAAGACAGTAACACAGAACGTCAGTAAAATTCTACTCCTGGTCAGTGTTCCCACATCCCATCCAACCACAGACCATTAAGGGAGAAAAGAATCACACACAGGTGTTGATCATCTTAAAGTTACAAATGTTCACAATACCTACCACCAGTGTCAAAAAATCTGTCACTATATCCAAAAAGCTTGTATATTTTATTGGGATACTTGAGAGATATATATTGAGACTGTGAGTGTGCATACACATGTGCTCACATACGTCTCAAGGGTCCAAATGTATGGGAGAAAGCGCGCACACATACACACACACAGCCTAAAAGGGAAATTCACTGTAACATTAATGGCAGTAGCTTCTTTTGTTTGTTTATACTTCCACATATTAGTCAAACATAAGCCAATCCAAATATATAAATTCTTCTTCCCCCACCTGACACAAATGGTAACATACCCTACAAACTTTTTTTGTACCTTGCTTTTTAAAAGCAGTTACTTTTGTGTGGTGAAATTCTGGGTGATTTTTATTTTCTTCTGTTTTGTCTATCCACATTTCTGGGTGTTTCCCCCACAGAAACATTGTGTGTGTGTGTATACATACATACATACATACATACATATATATATATATATA